GGATTTGCTGCCTTGTAAACACGTCGATGAAAAAAAGAAAAAATGTGGGAACGTTAGGGTAACCCTCCTGTCAGGGTAACCCTAGCACTAAGGTTACCCTACCTGCTTGTAAACAGGGCCTAAGAAGACAATCGAACGATTATGACATAATTCAAGACGTACCTTCCCAACTGTAACTTCTGTTAATTTGATGGTGCTGTTTTCCGATTTTACTTTGATGGTACTGTTTTCCGATTACCCACCTCTCATAAAATAACACAAGATGTAGGCCTAGGTCTAAAGAAAGTGGAATCCAACCTGGTACTACCTGGCACGGAGTACTTGAAAACAAGCGCACCCAGCCCTTAGCAACGGCGTTGTTACCGAGAAGCCTCGCTTTGGAGCTATCGTCGCCATATTTGCAATCGGTCTATGAGAATACTCAAACTTATTACACGACTCGGGCAATCAGAGGGCCAATAACTAAATCAACCAATCAAAATGCTCTATTTCCGGTCAATATTCTCTCAGTATTGGACCGGGCACTGACCCGAATGGTCCCGAATGGTACCGCACTTGTGTCCCTTTGAACTTCAGTCGTATAATAAATCTCTTATTAACCGCGCTTGCTCGGGACCGTACTGGAAGAATATCGGCCCTCGGTCTTTTTTGTACGGACCTCGCTGCGCTCGGTCCGTACTGTCAAGACTAAATCTCGGGCCGATATTCTCCCAGTACGGCCCTCGCGCTTGGTTAATAAGATATATTTATCAGCTAGAAGTTGTTATTTTGATCTAATATCAAATTCTCATAACCAATTTATAAGGAAGTGTGTAGCGGCTAGAGGGGAGAGTTTATAATCAGATCTTGCGATTTAAAGGATTAATGGCAGTGGCTTATTTCTTTGATCTTTGATTATTTGTTGTTGTAAGTATTAAAATTTGATGTTTTCTTTACTCTGAAATTATGATTCCTGTAGCTTTTCCTCTATGAGAGCGCAAGGATACTGATCGTCAGTCGCCAGTGGAGCAGTGCCAGAGATAAGAAATTTGGAAGCAACGACTGGTAGCTGAGAACTCTTCAAACCTATGGCTGGAAGAGTTCGTGGCAGTTTCCTTTGCCCTGAACCCGGCCCAAAGATGAAACTTTCTTTGGTCCTGGTAATCCGCCCGATAAAGTTAGAGCAAGATTAGATTTTAAGACTTAGCTCTATCTCTTAAACTAGTCAGCGCTGCTCAAAAAAAGTGGCCGGAGTGACTAGCATCTAGTTTCTTTTCAATATCACGCTTCAGTCAAATAAAGGAAATGATCACCAACTGAAGAAGTTCTTTTCAGTCTTCAGTCAGTTTGCAATCAGTCGCGCTATCTAATCTATAATAACTAAGGGAAATGAGCGAAAACTTAAAAAATTTCAGCCAATTTGAAACGACAGTCGCCCGTTCACCACTTGTCGGCATTTTCCACTGGTCGTTTTTTCACTTAGTGAGGTCACAAGACAGATCTCAAATTAATATTTTAACGAAGGGTATACCTGCATCTTAAATTTCGCGCTGCATTGTCTCTTTGCCCTCCTCTCCCTAGTCTCCCTCGCAGCCGTGTTTTTGGGATGTCACGCAACCGTATGTTTTTCTGAAATAGCTCCCAGGAGTCTCTGCGAGCTACTTCACTGTATTCAAACAAAGAGACACAATGGGTAAATTTTCAAAATGGCTACACATTTGACCGGCGCAGGATTTTGAAATATTTTTCTTAAGGCTTTTATATATTAGTCCATGAAACTAGAAAGAGAATAGTTTCAAAAGATGTCGGGGCAGGTTTGTTCAAATTGTGGTGGAAGTGACATAGACATAGATCAAGCTCGCGGCGATGCCGTTTGTATGGGATGTGGATCGGTGCTCGAAGATAACATTATTGTCTCCGAAGTTCAGTTTCAAGAAAATAACCTTGGTGGAGCTAGTGCTATTGGGCAATTCGTCTCAGCTGAGGGTACGTAAATGTTACTTTCAAATCAAACCCGGTCTCGTCTCTGATTTCAAGACAGAATTTGTTAAACGTGTTTCAGGTATACGTGGATATTTATGCGGATCCTCGACAAAAAGGCGGTGTTTTTTTCATATTCTCTTAGAGTGACAAAGGGAAGTAGTAATAAAAGAACAAAAAATTAAACTTTCGAGTTTTAACACCGCTATTATATATTTAGGGAATGCGGGATTTGAACTCTTTAGGGCGACGCTCTGATGATGGTTCTGCAACAGGTTTTATTCTCCAGTTGGCCACGCAGATCACGTGACAAGGTTATCATCAATTCACTAGATTTATAGTCAATCTAAGGCGCTCTCCTTTTCAGCCATAGCTTTGGTTCGCTTTGATTCCTTTATTCTGCGCTTGACTCCCATGTTCCAGGTGGTTTTTCTTTCTTGTAAAATTGCGACATAGTAAGTTTTTTTTTATCTCTTTCCTTTTTGTCAGGAAACAAAGTTGGGGTTGGCCTGGGATCCGCCTTTCGTCATGGACTGGGTCAGGAATCAAGAGCAGTGACGCTAGAAAATGGTAATCGCTTTTTATGAAGCATCGACTTTTATTTCATCAAGAGGTGGAGAGGCTATGCTATTGATAAGAATTGTGATTGTTTTTTTCAGCAGATGTAGTAAGAATTTGCTATTTCATTAGATATCTCGTTGTCTTCTTGATAATGAAAGATGATGTTGACGAAAAATTTTTGTTGCAAAATTAATGGTCATTGTATATGTACTGTATTACCATTAGTCAATGTCTTAAGATGAGATCATAAAACTGTTAATTGACAAAGTGATGTGAAAAATTGTGGTAAAGGAATAAGTGATTTTTTTTTCCATAAATGCATGTACGCGTAACAATTAAATCACAGACTTGACCCCAAGCCTCATCGATCCCCTCACTTTGATATGTTTCCCTCTTCCTGGAGAAGTTCTGAAACACTTGTCCCAAAATTTTTTAACTCTTTCTCTCCCAAGATTTCTCAGGTAATTCTCCGTACTGTCTACCAAGCAATTCTTATGATGTTAGTTTGGGAAGTTAACTATTGGATCTACTGAATTCCTTACTTAATGTTGTTTCTTTCTTCTTATCACTTGTCTGTGTGATACTGTATTGGTGTTGCAAGGAGAATTTCCGTCTTTCTTGGTAACTCATGCGAGTTGTAAGAGTTTGTTTGAGTGTGGTGAGCACAGAAATATTGGTGCCAGGGTTGACTAATTCATTGTTAGTTGGTATTTGATTTTCAGGAAAACGAAGAATAAATGTTGTTGGCCACCAGCTGCAAATGAATCAACACTGTATTGATACTGCTTATAACTTCTACAAGCTGGCAGTTAACAAGCGTCTGACCAGGGGTAGGAGAACAGACCATGTTGTAGCAGCATGCTTGTACCTTGTATGCAGAACTGAGAAAACTCCTCGTATCCAAAATGCATTAATTAGCTGTAGAATGAAAATTATCAAGTTTCAGGGCTGTAGCCAGATTTCAGGACAAGATGAGGCAAGTATAGAGCGCCGAAGGCGCGAGCCACTAGAGGGGTCTGGGACATGCCCCCCAGAAAACTTTGAAATCTAGAGGTTTAGAAATGCTCTTTTAAAGATTTTTTGTGGCATTTTTCTTCAGAAAAGTCAATCTTTATGAAAAGAATTTAAAAAGGCCAAAATTAATATGAGGCAATTGCCTTGTCTTGCCTCATGCTTAGCTACAGCCCTGTCTTTCAGTTGCTACAGTTAAAACATTTGTTAACTGTAAGCTGTTTTGTACAAGGTTTTCAGTGGTGAAAGTAATAGGAGGAAATTCAATATAATGTAACATGAAAATCCTTTGCACATCTGATTGAAACACAGCTCAGACCAACAAAATTTTGTCTACAAATTACTCATTCTCTAATGCCAAATGCACAACACTTTTGAATAAATGGTGCGAGAGGGGATGAATTTATAACAAGCAAAAACAGGAAGTTAATAAGGGAAAATCACTGTGCATGTAGTGTGAATATAAGTTTAATGAATATCAATTCACTTATAGTCTGACTTTATAAGGACTCAGAGCTAGCTGTAGAGGAAATGATAGGGTTGCAGCTAAGAAAGTAGGTTCGTCTGGCAGCTGAAATTTCAAGTGAGGCCACTCAATGATAGCCTTTGAAATCCATTGATTATAAGTGCTTACCCTCAGGAGTGAAATTGCTGCTTTTTCACCTGGCTAATTTTTGCTGGCAGCTGGTGCTTAGCAACAACTCTAAGAGGGCTTTTTGGGTTTTGATCAACATACTTAAGACATGATTGAGTGGGTGAAGGAAAAACTGGCCAACAATTAAGGCAAAGAAATGGAAACGTGAATGGTGAACTATTGCCAGTTCCTTTTTTTCTTTTTTTTTTTTCTTTTTTAATTTCAGCCCTCAGAGGACTTTCCCATTGTTAAGATTTTGCACTCTTTGGTAATATTCCTTAACTCTCAACTAACAGACATGCTTCTTGACTTTAGTGATGTTTTACAGGTATAAAAATGAATATAAAGACTGAGTTATTGCCTACTCTTAACTAAAATTCATGAAGGGTTCTCATGTATATATTGATAGCTTTTACTGAATGCATACTTGGATTATATGAAGATCTTCTAAAAGTTTTAAACAGTTACAAGGAATATACTAGCCCCACTCTTTCATAAGAGAGGCAGCCATGACCTCACAGCCCATCCCTTAATTGCACCTTTTTGCTATTTTTTTACACTGAAATTAAGTTTCCTGTTTTGCCAAGCCATTCGCAGTGCACAGAATAAGGATATGAAATTACATTCCACTGATACATAAACATACCAAGTTGTATATTGATATTATGAAATATAATCATTTGCCTGGATGCCTCTTCTGACTTACAAAATGATTTTTTCTATTACTTTTTTACAGGTTAAGTGGGGATAAAACTAAGTTAAACACAATCGTAATGATTAAACTACTAATTTGATCAATATTAGTTTTTGGCTGATTACAACTGTCTTTTGGTAGATTGATGTTTTTACCCTGGGTAGAGCATACCTAAAGCTGGCCCAGGAACTTTATATTAACTTGCCTGCTGTTGGTAAGTACCTTATGATCTTGAAGTTTGTCACTGAGAGAATCTTTACTCAGGAAAAATATTTTTTATAAACTTAACAGTTCTTCAAAGATAGGAGAGAGAAAAATTATACTGAAAATATGTATTCAGTCAGAGTTTATGATTGGGTTCAAGTCAGCAATGACTAACTACTTCCAAGTAACAGTTGTTGATGGCAGGCAAACATAATTGTTTAACGTTTTGGAAGAATCCTATTTTAATGAGGAAAATCTAGATTTAAAAGATTATGGTATAGCCTAAGGTGACCTTCATATTAGCCAACTGACATTAAGACTGGCATGCTGGTGGAGAGTAAGGACAAATTATTAATATTTTACACCCTAACATCAGTATATTCATATTCTCTATACTGTTATCTATAAGCACTTCCTAAGGTGCTGGCAAGGAAAATTGTTCAACAATCAAGAGTTCCTTTTAGTTAGTGATCATTTCCTCTATTCTTGTGATCGTAATGTGTGATTCAGGGGTGATACTGAAAGAAGAATTTAAGATGCCAAGGGTTCATTTGTCACCATACAATTATATCATGATACACGTGGTTGCAGGGCTCAAGACTTTCACTGTTAGATCACAATTGCCCTAATTGGTTAACAGTTCTTATGTCTTCAATGTCTTTGGCAGATCCTTGCCTTTACATCAATCGTTTCGCGCACAAGTTGGAATTTGGTGACAAGGAGCATGATGTTGCCGTGACAGCTTTGAGATTGGTATCAAGAATGAAGAGAGACTGGATTCATCATGGGCGTCGGCCTTCTGGTCTCTGTGGAGCTGGTGAGCAAATATTCATTTCTATCATTAGTTTAAATAAATATAAAGCCAAGAAAAAAGATAAAACTGAAGGCGGCTCTCAAAATTACTCTATCCCATTATCAGTCAGCCTATCATGGTCTGGTATCTTTGGCATGAAGAAAGTGTGTTTTGCACCCCTCCCCCCTCCCCCTCTCTCCTTAATTTTCCTGCTTTACCACTGCACCCACTCATTTATATTCCTGGAAGGAGAGAAGCAATGTGAGAGTTTGAATAAAGGCTGAAAGTTTCTAAAGAAACTGTGGCGCTGTGTCGGTGGAGGTAACATGGTAATTTGGTTATATCAACTAAGTTGAAATTATTGTAAATTGGCCACCGTAACTAATAAAAAAGCTGACGTTTCGAGCATTAGCCCTTCGTCATCACTCCAACGAGAGTTTAGCAACTTGCTGTAGAACATTACTCGAGAGACATGCTCAGGGCTCAAAAGCAGAGCCATTAGGGCACCAGTCATCTGAGGCAGCGGCATTTCTTACTCAGGGATTTTTTTTTCAATTTACCATCAAAGATTTGATTACCAGTACTGAACATTCTTTTAGAACTGACATAGGCATGTGATGCCATTGTGATATTCTTGGTTGGCATTGGAATGAGTTTTGATTAATGCACAATTTTAGCAACTGGGGAAGTGCTTATGAACTACGCTTCCTTCATATCTCAACAGCTCTGTTAGTGGCAGCAAGACTACATGGTTTTAACAGAACAGTACGTGAAGTTGTCAAAACTGTCCGTATAAGTGACACTACTATCAGAAAGAGGTTGGGGGACTTTCGTGACACGCCCTCCAGTCAGCTGACAATTGATGAGTTCCAAACGATTGATCTTGAGGAGGAACAGGACCCGCCCTGTTTCACGCAAGCAAGGAGAAGAGCAAAACAACAACTTGAGGAGTTGAACAAACCAGAAATTACTTCAGAGTTGGAATCATTTCAGAAGTCTATTGAAAAAATTTTGGGGATAGATTCAACAAGGGACAATGTACACCCAGATGATTTAATTAAGACCTCTGAAAAAGAAGATGTTTCAAAGGATTATGATGATGGTTCTTTCCTAGCTATTCCTTCCTACAGCATCCCTGATTTTGTATCAAATAGTGACACCAATAAAGGTACTTCAGAGTATTTACCTCTTTACATGCTAAAATCAGCATGCATATTCTCCACACTGTTCTTTATACATTTCTTTTGGCACTAACAAGGGGAATTTAGTAAAAAATCAAGTGCTTTTCAAATCTGTGATCGTTATTTTGCTTAATTCTCATGAGACTAATGCTTGGTTTAGGAGCAATATCTTAGTGAGAAATTTGACGCTGGTTACTTTTCAGGGGTTAAATGGTTAACTGGCTGTTCTAGTGCTCAAATCAATTTTTTCTTAATCTCAAATGGAAAAAAGAATTACTTTTAATTTTATCATTTTTAATTTCACAGATGGTGAAAAAGAAGTGTGTGAAGAGCTGGATCTAACTGGCCTGGATGAAGCAGAACTTGATAGGGTAACTCTTCCTGTCCAATTTTTAGTTGTAATGCAAGACTAACAGTTATTATAGTTCACCACTAAATTTTCTCCCCTCTTATTGGTTTGAATCGATCACGTGACGCGATAGTGTTCATCCGTGGAGAGACACTATCAGCCCGTAGTGCCCGCCCGCAGAAAATACCCGGATGGATAGCGCCCGTCCGCGAAAAATACCTGCATTGATAGTACTCGTCCATGAAAAGTTTTGAATAGTTTGACGGCCGCAAAGTTAGGCAGATTGGAAAAACAGTGACTTTTCAATTCTGACAGGTATAACGTATTATTTAGCCAATGTACGGTTGCGAATTAATGACATTTGTGACAATTAAGCTGTAGGCGCGGAAGAAAATTTAGTGGTGAACAATAAAAACAATAGAGTGTGTATGTCTCGGAACTATCGGTCTGATAGTTGCCCCTTGGAAATTTGATGTTCTTAAAACTAGCATATTTGTTTTAAGAACATCAAATTTCCGCAGGGCAACTATCAGCCGATAGTTCCTTGACAGAAACTCTCTATTGTTTAAAAAGCCAGGCATTTTAACTTAATAGAAAAGTTCTTTCTGTGCAATCTAATTTATTATTACCATTACCACAAAATATAAAGTAAAATGAATTAATAACTGCATACCAAAAGGGACAAAGGTATGACTCACTGACCCCACCCTATAAACCTGAGAGTTTAAACTATCTCTTCCTTATGCAAAGTCCTTTGTTTCTTTGGAAGGAAATCTTCCCAGTCTTGCTCAGTCTGTATTTCTATTTTTTACAGTGTCTTTTAAATGAAAGTGAGATTGAAATAAAAACAAAACTGTGGATGGAAGAAAACAAAGATTATCTACAAAAACAAAAAGGTGAGAATTATGTCTGCAATTAGTGTTTGCTCCATGTTCTTCACCCAATGATTTTGTAATTTTTTCCTTTTTACTTGAGATTGTTGGAGACGTTTTTAAAGTCTCTGAATTTTTAAATGCCCTTGTAAACCCATCTTAGGTTCTCCGCATTTCATTTTCTAGAAAAGGAAGAAAAGGAAGCAAGGGAAAGAGAGGAAGGAAATAAACAAGAACCAAAAAAGGTTGCACGTTGTTCTTTTCTCTTTAAAAGGGCCCTCTGAGTCATTGGTCTCCCTTATCAGATAATTGTTATTTTTATTTTTTTTCTTTTATTATTATTATTAGGTACTTTTATTTCATTAGTATGCGCGCTAGTAGAATTTAATCAGAACAATAAAAAATAGTACTTTTTATATCTTCCACCAAATCGTGAACTTGGCTCTGCGGTTTCCAAAACTTTTTCCATAAGCGGCAGCCGATGGTATAGCCTACGTATAGCCGTACCCTCCCCCCGACCCTCCCTCTTTTTCGATTCTCCTCGAGGAGAGGTACGGCTTCACGTGGGCCACCTCTGGTACAATAGCCGTCTGTTCCCGGAAAACGGGCCGTAAACCCAAACAAGAGAGCGTACAGCAGGCTAAATGGACGGCGCTCAGGGGTCTTATGGATAGCGGTAGACCGACGTTAACCGGCTTTTATTGAAACCGCTGACTTATCGCTTTACCATTGGTCGGCCACCTGCCGTATAGAAATCACGTGTCAATTTTTCTTTTTGGGTTGTTATAGAGAAAAAAGCAATATAAGAAAAGAATACCGACTGGTCCAGCCAGCACTGCAGGCGAAGCCATTGAGAAGATGCTGGTTGAAAAGAGAATCTCCAGCAAAATAAATTACGAAGTGCTGAGGGATCTGGAGACTAGTCAGTTAAGCATGCCCAATACCCCTGTGACGTCAACGCCTAAACCGGTTGTACAGCTTAAACAGGAATTTCTGACGCCGCGTGTACCCACTAGAAAAGGAGGAAGAAAGAGGTTAGTACTGACTATTGCCCTTGATTTACAAAGCAAGATGGCTAAAGAAAGCATTTTCCTTCCCTTAAAAAAGTACAAACAAACATAAGAAAAATCAAGAGTAATAGAACAAAAACAAAAGAAAAGGTGTCCACCAGATTACCTGGCTATCCCTCCACTGTGAGTGATTTGCAGGTATCAATTCAGTTGCCCGCGTAAAAGTTGATCTTTTTGGTTGTTTGACCTTTTTTTTTTTCATTTATTATTAATATTTCCATAAGGTCGTAGTAGTAGCAAGTTTGATAAATATTGTAAGAAAGAGACAACTTTTTTGAGAGATATGTTTGGGCATGCTTATGCCATCTTCAATCGAGACAAGTAGATGAACAAAATATTTACAGTGTGATGTAATAGAAAAGCGGGTACTAATTACAATGTGACACCAAACATCAAAGGTGTGAACTAAAACCCTAGAAAAGTGTTATAATGCTGTAATTTCTCTAAAGCAAGAAAGGGAGTATTTGAACGAAATACTCCCTTTCTTGCTTTAGTATTTTGGATTCTGCCAACAACTCAATTGATTTAAAACTCAAAGAAGCTTTTTATATAAATAAGATCAAACCTGAACTTAACAAACAATTACAGCATTATAACACTTTTCTAGGGTTTTAGTTCACACCTTTGATCTTTGGTGTCACGTTGTAATTAGTACCCGCTTTTCTATTACATCATACTGTAAATATTTTATTCATCTACTTGTCTGTTATATTATTACTCACGTTCCGTTACTCATTGATTGAAGATGGCATAAGCATGCCGAAACATGTCTCTCAAAAAAGTTGTCTATTTCTTACAATATTATTATTATTATTATCGCAGAGAAGTCAACTGAATGTTACATTCTAGTCAGGCAGCACAGGGCGAAAACCGTAACCTGTGAGCCATGGAATAAAAAATAGATGTACATTAATTAATCCTAAAAAGCTTTTCCGTTGTGTCTGCGGTCCTCCTTCTAACAGGAACTCAAACTGCCACCTTGAAAGTCCGGGCAATATTCAGCGTGCCCGAGAGCATTGCCCTCTGCATCTTTCGCTGTACGTCTGTGCTTCTGCCTCCCACCAGCCCGCGCATCATGACATCCAGCTCCCGTGACCACCCCCCTAGGGCATCCATTATGATGTTATATTGCTTCACCTCGTAGCCTGGGAACTGCTGCCTTAGTTCCCAGCGAAGGGGTCCATACTTCAGTGTCTTCTCTTCATCCTTTCTCGTCCAATTGTTAACCCACGGGCAGCTCATTTTCAGCGTCACAACTCTCTTGCACGTATGATTTACAATGCGAGCATCCACCCTATTGCATCTGACCTCTTGGTGATCAACATATATAGAGACATCCCAATAAGCTTTAACATTCTCTGCCTCATACACGGGCTTCGGCTTGTCGGGTGAGTACCAGGGTGGTATCTCGTCTATAACTCCCTCATCATACAACAGTTCGTAAAACAGTACCTTCAGTGCTGCGTCTTGTCTAGAGAGATACTTGCTCTGGGCCAGCGCACTGCATCCTGACAAGATATGAGCCACGCTCTCTGGAGCCTTACCGCATAATCTGCACCTCACCTCGCCTTCCCCGCTTGTGTGGGTCTTCTGACTCGTGTATACTCGCGTTGGCAAGAGCTGCACGTATAGCTCGACGAGTCCAGCAATTGTGTGTGATGGGCAGTTCTTCCACTCTGTGAGCCACAAGAAACACCCATCGGCACTCAAACTCTCATCCTCCAGCCTGGTAGTCACTAGACGCCCTTGCCATGGTTGGTTTCTGATCTCATCCTCTAACTTCTCAATTTGGCACCTCCCCACCTCTTTCTTGATCCCTTGCGCGTGTTCCATTATCATTATCATTATTTCTTTACTTTTTTTGTTTTAATTCCTAGGGATTCTTTATCTCCTGTTGTCTCGCCTTTGGACCCCTTCAAGAAACCAAAGGTGGGTGTAAAATCTATTTCTCATTTCGTTTCATTTTTGGCCATCAGGGGGTATCAAGAAAAAAATGAGAAAATACGCCATTTTATGCCATAATTGACTACTTAGTAGACAAAAACTCGCTCACAAATACTTCTAGCATTGATAAACACGGATTAAATTTTACCTGAATGACTAACCTTAGTTTTGTTCCTGAGTTGTTCTGCTTTAAGTGATCGTTCAATACAGGTGAATGACTATACAAACAGGCCGTTGGGACTCAGTAAAAGGTGACCACGATCGCCTAATAGAGGAGAGAATCACAGTAATTAAGGGGAAAACTTTTGAGTTTTCAATACAGCTCAATACAGGGTGACCGCTTATACGGTGCCGCTTGATATAGGTTCGACTGTATTATGGATACAGCCTTAGTTAGGATTTATCCTATGTCAGTAGTGAACGCAACATTAGTTTCGATCGGATCTCGAACAACACAGCCCGTAAGTATTTTAGCAAAACGTATCTGAAGCCTGTTTTGGCAATTAATTAAAGTATTCCCTTTCAACGTCTGAATCTACTTTTACTAGCTTTTTCAGCCTCAAGATCCAGCCAAGGTTGAAGAAGATAAAAAAGAAGTTGTTATTGAAAGCGGGCCAGTGGAGTATGAAAAGACCGACGAAACCAACCCAGTGGGCGAGGAAGAGGAGGAGTTTGACGAACTGGAAGAGGAGGACGAGGAACCAGTGAGCGCAGTAGAGTTGATGGGACACCTATATGATGCAAGTAAGTTATTTTGATTTCGCCAGTCAGAATTGCTGAGTTTAATGTGTTGCTTAATCTAGGTGCTTTGTAAATTACACTCTGGGTTTGTCTAAAAACTTCCCCATAACCCCGTTGAACCAGGTACTTTAACTTGCAACTGATTTATCTTGCATAGACCTGACTTCTGTCTTTGCCGGCGGAAAACAAGATCTCAATTTTTGTTTTCTTTTGAGCGCCCTAAAAACAAAGAGAAAACAAAGAAAAAACAGAACAAAATTTAGTCTCAATAGGGGGTGCACGATGCACTTCTTCGCGAGACTTTTATCGAGATTGTCTCCATTTTATGACCAGTTTAGATAAGAATAATTGAGAGAGTAAAGCCTGGTTTCTCACCTAGAAGCCGGTTTAACGCGCTTACTAGCGACCAGGGTCGACCAGTGATGGACCTGGCCAGTACTGTTCAGCTCGTGCTAAGCATGGGAAAACCTACTGTGAGTGCTGGTTATTTAAATGAAGTGAAGTTGTTTTACAAAACTTCGATCTAAACTATCTTCAACACATCCATACATTGAATTTTCAGAAGAGTGGCAAGAAGGCTCATACTTCAAGCAATTCAAGTAGAAATTTCTTGGTGCAACCTTTGTTCAAAACCGCGGTGTTCTTTCGTGGCCTATAATTGATAAAAAAAGGGAAAAACATTCATCTACAGAATCATAACAACAATAACTTCAATTTCGTCCTTTAATTAATTAATTAATTTATTAACTTGATATTCTCTCATACTTTTACAGATGTCGACGACGATTATGCTGATTTTGAAGATTATGAATAATGGTTCGTTTATTGTTACCTCGTCACTTGATCTCAAAGCCTTCCATCTAGAAACGTCATTGGAAGGAGTTACCTCTTGGCATATCTTCCTAACTACAATCTTCGACTGTTTGTTACCAATCAGAGGATTTGTAGAGTATTTCTGATAAGATTACGTCAGATTACCAAGACGACCTCGTTTCAGGAGCGGATCTGGGAACGAGGTTAGACGACCAAGCTTTTGTAAAGACGCGAACACTTCTCGGATGCAGGGTGACGTCAGTGAGTGAAAGTTCTTCTTCAAAAGTGCGCATGTTCAACATGTTTCGGTGTGAAGAACTGACGCGGGCACTTGAGGGCTTGCTACTGCTCGCCAGTGGATTGTGCATAATTCATTTGATTAAGTAAACAGCAGAGAGCAAGAAATTCAAACGAATATAAACTGGAAGATGGTACAATATTTAAGTGGTGTAACGCAAATATTTGAACGAACGTAAGCAAACACCTCAAAGAAATATATTATATTTTTCTCAGCATCTATTTTTTTTTTGGTGGTTGTTGTTATAAATTTGTACAAATGCTGCACCCCGCCCATTGCCAAATAAACGTGCAGTGTCTTTTGGACCGACGCCCTAGGCAAGCAAGGCGTCAGTCAATTCATCTGCTTAAAATGATGAGACCTATCTCCGTTTGAAACACCGCCTTTTTCATTGGTAATTTTTAAATTTGTTGACAGGTTTATTGTAAACCTGAGTGAGAAATATCCTCATAAATGCTTCCGTACTTTGTGTCGGACAAAATATATGACAGTACTTAATTATCTGAATCTAATTTATCGGCGATTCTGCTAAAAGCAAAAAATAAATTTGATTAAAACAAGGACAAACATTGAAGAGACAGTTTGAAATTGTAGGTGTGATTGCTTTTACAGTTATTCCACGGGTAGATAATCAGTTGGTTATATTTTACCATTTGTTCCAAGACCGTGAGAACTGTCCTATGTTTGTAAACAATGATATTTTGAGGCCACCACCTGATAATAATTTATTTATCGTAATCGCTCACGTAGGTATTTTTAATTTAGTTTTTAGAGAAATCGTGTTTTTGAAACCATTTACGCGTTTACTTATTTATAAAGGACTTTGATCCTAGCAGAAAGAGAAGTAGGCCCATATATATCAATATATGTAAAGTTAGAGCGATGAGGTTTTGACAACTCATAAAATTGACTGTATATTTGTCATTGCCGAGTGCCGCTTCCTGTTCAAGAACAGGTGCAAAACAAAATTTGTGACATTTTTGACCGAAACAGAAGTATTTCTCACCTCTCGAATGCAAATGATACTCAGCTTTGGGTGGGGTCAGGAACGAAAATTAAAACGATGTTGTTTCTTCTAATACATACTCAGTTGTTGCTTAAGTTCATTTTCGAAACTTTTTCCAAGTTATCTTGTTCCTAGTTTTGGCAATTGTGATTTTAGTGAAGAATATTTGGTTTGCAAACTGCTTCATTTGTCCAACACATACGGGTATTGAATTTGTTCGCACTCACGTTCGATTTCGCCGCTAATCGACTTTGAAACAACACCCGCCTTCGATTTGGCACGTTCTTAATCCAGGTCGATGTAGAATGAACATTTCTGTGTGCAGCTAAAGACGATAACACTCGCAAGATACCTTTATTGCTCATGTTTTGTTTTGTGGTTTTTTTTTTTCTTTTCTTACTGCTTGTATCCGGGATTTGAAGTAACAAGACTTTTTGTAAACGATTACCATTTCACCACACACTTGTACTCGGGGGATAATTTATTTTTTGTTGATAAGGTCACGGCATACCAAAATACGATTATTCATTATCAAGAACTCCTATTTGGGCAAATTTTTTGCAGGGAACGCAAACCGTAAACGGTACTGGAGAAAATAAAATGAGATCAGGAACAAAACTGAAAAAAAAAAAAAAAAAAACTTTATGAAAAAAATGTCAGGATTAAAGCCACGCGTTATTTCAATTTATTTTTCAGATCGTCTATCGATAAATATTGTTTATATCTAGCGATTTTCCCAGTTTTTAGACTCCCTGCGGTTGTTTTGCGAGACTAGGATGGCATTTTTCCTGAAACCTCGACTTCAATAAAAGAAAGCACAGTTGGAAAATTGCTTTTTCTACGTTAATGAATTTTCTGATGCAATGTATGCTTTATTTTCGAGACAAAAGGCAAGTTGAACGCATGTGGAAACAGGTCGACTGGCGTGGACGAACCTTATCAATTATTCTTTTGAGCAAAGGTCAACAATGGATTACTGACAAGGGGTATGGCAGGGCGGTATAAATTCTGACCCTATTTATCCCCTGGTGTAGGACACTTCTCATCATTTTTCGAAGCCAAAATCTAGGCATAACCTTCTTTGTAAATTTAGCGTCCAGTGTCCTTTTCACAGTTATGAGGGGCGCTGTTTTCCTTGCTTTGTTTCACAAGGAAGCCCCACCACACCCCAAGAAATTATCTAACCTTTTTCATGAGGAGGCCACGTGATCTTGCGGATAAATTGCCGCGTGGAATTGTTTTTGCGATCGATAGTTCGCGCCATTCCAGTTGTGCCCTCAGCTCTTTGTGTCTACTGTAGCCTCTTAAACGAAAACATCACTCGTCCAAGTGAACAGTACTAGTAGCTAGGAAAATGAGCAACGAAGTGGAGTTCAACAGTTTAACCAAAGATGATGTCAAGATAACGTTTGAGGATTCGTCGCACACGTCGAAACCGAGCGAGGATGAAATAGCGCAACATAGGAAAACACGCTTGGCCCTCGTGGTGGTTTTCGCTGTGATTGTAATCGTGATGGTGGTAGTAGCCGTCATCATCATTATTGTAGCACCCAAATGCGAAAAGAAAGAAGAAGTACCAGAGGAGAAGAAACGCAGTGGCGACGAATGGCTGAAACATGGGATCATCTACCAAGTGTATCCTCGTTCCTTTAAAGACTCCGGTAAAGATGGAAATGGCGATCTGAAAGGTATCTTGGAAAAGATGGATTACTTCACTGAGTTGGGAGTACAAGCTTTGTGGCTCAGTCCAATTTACGATATGAAAAATTTTACGACCATCGATCCCATGTTCGGAACCATTGAAGACTTCGACAAATTCATCAAAGAAGCTCACGATAAAGGCATCAAGGTTGTCATGGGGTTCGTTCCGAATCACTCTTCGAATAAACACCCATGGTTCGTGGAGAGCCAGAAGAATGCCAGTAACGCCTATAGAGACTACTACATCTGGCAGGGAGGCCCTGCAAAGAATCAAACTCCAAACAACTGGATAAGTGTGTTCGGGGGAAGTGCTTGGACCTACCAAGACACCAGGAAGCAATTTTACTTTCACCAATTCAGCAAAGAGAAACCTGACTTGAATTTAAGAAATGAAAAGGTGAAAAAGGAACTCCAGGATGTTTTGAAGTTTTGGCTTGCGAAAGGAGTCGATGGCTTTAATTTTGATGCTGTACAATTTCTGATCGAGAACGATAACTACGCAAACGAAACGGCAAAAAGCAACTACAATGCGTTGAATCCGAAATACGACATGCTGAATCACACACTTACTTATGGTAAGAAATACATTTGGTTCTTAAATTTAATTTAATGTTTAAGAATTCGAAAACTTGATTTGGGGATTTTTTCAAGTAACAGATCACTCCAGTAAGCTTGTTTATGATTTTCTCAGACTGCAGCTGGTCTTTTGAAGGCATCGCAGCGGAATTAGGAAATATGGTCTTGACTATACTCGTTAAGGCATGTGATGTTCTGTGGTGTTCTGTTGATTCGGTTTTGCACGAGGTACTGAAGGACATATCATTGTTAGAGCTTTCTTGTCGCAGCACGTGAATTTTTGTTTACGTTCCGATGACTTGACCTTCGACTGAGCGATTGATATTGTCACTTGAGAGTGTCACACAATTTATCAACAAGCCCTTTAGGGCATGGGTGCACTAAGCATATTTTTGTTTATTTTGGAAAAAAATGTCATCAGCTCAGTGAAACAAGTGTGCCTGGTGATTTTTCATCCTGCCAAATTTTTTCAAGCTTACGAATCTTCAAAGGCACCCTCTTTCTGCCTTAGTGCAGGAAGAAATTTGTCAGGCGTGAAATCTGACAACTTTTTCAAATTTGAAGGAATAGGTCAATCAAGAAAAATTTAATCATTTTCTTGAATGCAAGTCTTTCAGGCAGAAGGCCGCCAAAATATTAAATTTTTTATGCAGTATTTAATCAGTGAAGATGGAAGAATTGTACCTCAAGATGCTGCATGATGATCAGGGCTCAGAATACAACTATTATGGCTCCAAAGTTTAAGTTAAAGCGGAATTCCAAGATCCGAATACTGTCTAATTTTAAATCGTTGTGATTTGTGATTGACATTTGTTGGTAACAAATATTTTGCTGTTTCCAGTGTGACCACGAATGACAAATTAAAAATTTAGCAGAGGCAATGTTGACAAGGTTTTAGGAGGAGCAAAACTAATTTTGTCAGCCCAGTGTACCTGGGCTCTTTCTTCACATCCCCTTGTTTCAATCAAAGAAAACTTGCATTTTAAAAGGGAATAGGGTTTTCAAGGTTGATCATAAATTTAAAACTTTTACTCAAGGGGGCAGTGCCATGCATTCTCTCAGGTTTTGTGATATCAGTTGAAAATTTAATCCAATTTAAGTGAAATACGAATTATCAGAAGTTGTGGTGACCATTATAACTGGGTACTTATCTTTGAAGAGAATTAAAACCTTCCTTTTTTTTTTTTTTTTCAACCTTTTACCCCAAAGATCCAAACTGTGATTTTCAACATCTGCCATACCCTTCTTTTAATTTTAGTCCTGAGAATTTGGTGTAAAATCAAACAATGATATTTTTATTCTCATTATCTTCATGCTTTAAAATTTGTTATTTTTGGCAAAGAGAAATCCCTTCCTGATCATTCATGAAAGGGTAGTATGATATAAGGTGGAAATAGGGAAGTGAGAGGATTATTTTACACGTAATGAAGTAAGGATGTGGCTTTTACAGATATGACTGACAGAATAACTTTGGAAAAGTGCCTTTTGTACAGCTTATAAGACAAATTTGTTGGAGCGGTTTTTTTTTTCTTTTCAATGCAAGTGCAAACAACCCTTTGGCCTGATTCATTCAAAATTATTGAACTCTAAGAACATTTGGCCGCAAACAGAGAGAATTATTAATTTGAGAAAACTTTTGTTGTGGGGCATAGCAAGCTCTTCCAATATTATTTATAGTTTGAATTTTTTTGGTCTCTGCCTTGTGGTTAAATAATAATTTCTTCTCAACTTTTAATATCAAATTATTTTCTATGTTCAGATCTTGATGAGAGTAGAACCTTGGTGAAGGAATTCCAAGATTTCCTTAACAAACAGAGTGGAAGCCATCCCATTTTGTTCACAGAGGTGAATGGACCTTATGACAAGACTTCAAAGTACTATGAGGTGTCAGACATTCCATTCAACTTTGGCCTGATCACCAAACTTAATGAACAGGGAATGACACTCGCCCAGAGTATCAACAAGACCGTCATTGAATACTTAGCTAGTGTTCCAAAGAGCAAGACACCCAACTGGGTCACTGGCGATGATGACCATGAACGTATTGGCAGCAGGGTGGGCGAAGACAACAGACATGCAATGAATGTCCTTGCACTTACCCTGCCTGGTTTGGTTTCTACCTACTATGGTGTAGAGATTGGCATGTTAAATAGTAAAATTGCCAATCAAACTGACCGTATGGATATAGCAAGAACTCCCATGCAGTGGAATGCAAATAAAAATGCTGGTGAGTGAATTATCTTTGAAGATTATCATTTGGAAGACCATAATCAGCTTATGTTCGCGTAGGAAATCTTGATAAAAACAAAAATTCTTACTACTAAAATACAAGATAACGTATATCTGGGAGAAGGGAGAATTACTACTTGGAAGGTTAAGGGTTGTTTCATAGTCAGACGTACTCCAGGTGGAGAGGGGTCAGGTTCTTTAGACCTGGCCGGGGTCAATGGATTCTGTTCTTGGGTGAGACACTTTACCCTCACAGTTCCTCTCTGTGACACCTCGCATGGGTCCTTACAGTGTATGTTCTGTTAGCACCAACCCTATTGGGTCAACAAATTTTTGAGTCATACCTAGTGGAGATGTTAAAAAAAAAGTTTTTGTGTGCAAATAAAGTATCAGATCTGATTCCACAAACAGAGTCTCTGGGTCATTCAGTCTTTAGGGATTAGTCTTCAAATGAAAACCATGTGAGGATTTTCTGTGTATTCTTATTGGTTGCTTTGCAATTTTATGTCAAGTTTCAAGGCTGTGGTCTAGCACTCCCCAGTGGCCCCTGGCACCTTACTTTTGTTCTTGGGTGACTCAGGAATTTAAGTTTTTTTATACAAAGCATATGCTGGGCACCCTGGATTTCATGGTTTCAAAGCACTGAGCTCCATTCAATTTTCCTTAGAGCACAGCTGTGAGTTTACATTTCACAATTTAACATTCAATAAGCATTACATTGGAGGCCATTGCAAAAGGTCAATTTTGGCCCTAGAAGGTCTACCATAATCATAAGTCACCCTATCCTCACTGCTATTTTCCATGATTGTGATTGCAGGCTTCACTATAGGCAAACCCTGGCTGGAAGTTGGCTCAAATCACAACACCATCAATGTAGCCAATGAAAAAGAAGACAAAGATTCAATCTACAGCAAGTTCAAAGAGCTTGTTGAGCTTAGAAAGAAAGCAGCTACCCTGAGTGATGGTGAATTGAAAGAGGTGCACACCGATCTGCAAGTGTTCTCCTTCATTCGCAGCCATGACAGCGAGCACCTCCTTGTCATCATCAACTTTAGTGACAAAGTTTGGAATGGGGATCTTGACAAGATCTCAGGCAGGGGAATAGTGGTATTTGATACTGAATCCAAAATGGTTGGTCAAGAAGTGGATGTGAATAAGATTAAACTTAATGTAGGCCAAGCTGTCATTCTGGAAAATGGTAAAAATGAGTGGCACTTGGAATAGAAAACTTTCAATTGATCTCTCAGGGTTTTGTTTTGTTTTGTTTTGTTTTTTTTTTTTTTTCTTTTGTCAGTCTGCTGCTAAATTTTAAGTACCAAACAGCAAAAGTAATTGCAGTGTCAAAAACCATTTAGAAGAAGACTGATAAAAAGTAGAGAGAAAGCTTATGGAATTTTAGTCAACTTAAATTATTCAAAATTTCAGACAGACATCATATGCTATATCTAATGAAATACTGATACTTCAAGTATGGAAGATTACAGAAAAAGCATTGGTTTGTTTAAAATGGGACATGTGTTTTGTTAGCTCAGCTGTAATTCACACCATATGAGGACTTGAGATTTCTTTCTTTTTGGTTGAACCTACGTGTAGAATCATACTTTACTCTCTTAGTCCCTCATGAGTGTGTCAGTTACATTGCTACAGTACGTACTTTATTACACATTCAACAGTTCATTCAAAAAAGTATAATTACCATAACTTATCATTACACTCATCTAGCCGAAAGAGTTAGCATCTTACACCTCTTGGTCAGGTCTATTTAATTGTATCATTTATCATAAGTTTTTGGAAGTCATACAGACCAAGCTCCTCCATAAGACAAAGTTTTCTTCAATTATTTGTTTCATTCCAATGAAAAATGCCACTTTCTGTCAGTGCGAACTAAATTTTTCACCCTTTAACTCCCACAAGTGACCTCGGCAGAATTTCTCTTCACATTATTGATACAATGATGCCAAACAGATAAGTGACGAGAATTAAGTGTCAATTGAAGAATTATAAGTTGATCAAATACAGTACCAAATTTTCTGAACCAACATAAGAATATGGCACACAATAAGGAGAATTACTAATGAGATCTGGTAGTGCAAGGGTGAAAAGTCTGAGGAAAGGTATTATCAACATGCTCTAAATGTGAAGTGTTTTCTAATAATGGTTAAAAGGGTTTTAACAAGGTCATGATTTGTTTAGTGGGAAGTGAAGTGAAGTGAAGGATGCAGACTTGCAGGAGCGACACTATCCGTACTCTTAATCTCCTGAGTATTTGGTCGAGTATCTCAGTCGCAATGATTCGTGCTGCCTTCCACAGGAAACTTTCCAGTTGTAATCCTTAATTTCCACAGAAAATGCAAGTTTATACTAATAATTATGGTTAAAGGGGTTTTAGCAAGGCCATGATTTGTGAAGGATGCAGAAAGACACTATAAGCCATTCTACAGGGTGAAATCACAGCTAAGTGATACAGCTGCTGGTAATTAAACTATTATTTGCAGAGTAATGTTCATAGCCCAGTGGCAGTAACTTGCAACTAAAGAAGCTCTTGATTGTTAAACAAGATTCTCCTTGTCAGCACCTTAGGAAATGGGTAGAGAACAGTATTGGAGAATGTGCTTACTGTTCTTTGGGTATATAAGGTTAAATTATGAAGTTTAATCCTCTTAAAGTATGAAATCCTACAAAAAATGATAGTTTGTGTTTAAAATGTACTTATTTCAAATTAGTTTTAATTTTAACTGCAACTGTTGTTAGTTGTAACACCAACATCAGTCTTTCAGGGATTGTTCACCATTCATGTTTGTCACTCACCAGTAACATTTAGATGGTATCTCAACACGTTTAATCTAGTTCAAACTTGTGACAATATTTAGTATTTAGAATTAAGGAATCCTTCTTGAGTGGTTTAGGTTTTGATTGTTCCTTCTGAGAACCTTGAATTTTCCAATTCTGTTTTTTAGTTTATTTTTATATAATCCTAGACTATTGATATAGTAATGATTGGAAAGCCATTTCCTTGTAAGCAATAATTGATTATCAAGTAGTTTGTTAAATGATTGAGATCAATCCTTTGTTAAGTAGGAGGTTGTCATACATTAAAAAAAAAAAAAGAGTGAAACTATGTCTTTTTCATGTTATGAAATGAACAAAGTTAGCCTCATTCATGATTCACATCATATTTAATGGGCTTTTTTTTAATGTTAACAGCTGGTAAGTGTTAGTTCTTTTCACATCCTTTGAGTACAATTCTTCTATTTCCATAGCAATTTGTTCATTTTTGCATCTGTGCAATCATCCTCAGTACTGGTAGGTAATGCTTTCTTTCGGTAAGTATTGCATGACATCTTGAAGAACACACATTTGCAATTTCTTGTCCTTCACCTGTTGTGCCCTATTCATTACCTCCCCCTCTTCCTTATCCCACAAAAGAAAAGAACAGATGATATATAGTATGCACAGTTTTTCAAACTTGCTTGATAGGCCTCCTATCTTGAGCTCAGAGGTCCTCTATCCCAAGCACATCTAGTTTTTGACTGGTTCTTATCAGTTTCCTGCATTATTGATTTGCAAAAGAACTCTGGTGACCCTGTGAAAAGATGTGTACGGTATCGTAGCATTTTATTCTCCCTGAAATTTTTGTCAGACTTTACCATAACCTTTCCATATGTATAGTGAGTTCTAAAATCTAGGATGCACTTTTTATGATTTTGTGTTCACTGTTTTGGTTGCCTATAGGACTGGTATTTGCAAATTTCAAAATATCTGTTCAAAGTAACTATGACAAAGGAAAAGTGTGAATGCTCATTATAACCAAAGTTCAATTCTCACAATGGGATACACCTATTTTTTTTTTTTTCTTATTCATTGTCAACTCATCATCAGCTTCTAAATACTTTCAGAAAACTGGTTCAGAGATGCATAGATGAGGTGTTTGCAACTACAGGATTGGGTGATGTCTCTAAGAGGAATGATCCTCACTTCATGGGAGGGGAGGGGAGAACAATGATCCCACCCTCCAACCTATCATATGAAGAGGAACACCTAGAAGAAAACACCCTGTACTTTTACTACCTCGTAGGATATCAGGAATTCTAATTAGTCAAAATATTAACCCCTCCCAATGCAAACAAGGGTAGAAAGAATAAAGGGCGACAGTTACTCGTGCCAGCCTAGCATGAGGCAGTCAGTAATTTACTGCGACGACATTGCAGATTTTGACTAACCAATTGTTTGTTTGATCAAAACACGGTTATGATTCTAAACTGCAAAAAAAATTTTAATTGCATTATTTTCTTTTATTGCTTCATGTTACTTTAATATGAGCCTTAATTATCAAAAGACTGTGCTAGCCTGAGTTAGAATATCCTAGCATGTGCAACAAAGCAAAGTGAATTTTTCTGCCAATCCTTCAAAAGTTAAAAAAAGTTAGTGCTGAACAAATTATTGCCAGTGGCTTCATTTTCAATATTGTACAATCTCCTCTTGTGTATATTCAAAAATCTCTTAAACTGGATGAGTGCAATAACCATACAAATGCACATACATGCCTGCGTGTATGTGCCTGATAACCTCTTGTCTGGAGCTTTAAATAATAATTAATCACTTTTAGTTTGTCAGTAAAAGTTCTATATGGGCTATATTAATTTGATAAATTATCATTTACTAAATAAGCACATTAACTGTAATAAGACTAACAACAAAATAAGTTCCCTGTTTCTTTCACAGAAAAAAGCAAGAAAAACAAACAGGAAAAAGTTTTGCTTCATTATTTCCCTGAAAGATTTAACTTTCATCTTCAGACATTGCTTCCAACTCAAAATTCAAATTAACTTCCATTTGAAAATCATGCACCGTCTAATATCAACTATTTATTACACGACTTGGGCAGTCAGAGGGCCAATAACTAAAATCAACCAATCAAAATGNTAACCCCCCTTACAATATCACCCCTGAATCAAACATTAGGGTCACAAAATTAAAGAAATGATCACCAACGAAAGGAGCTAAGGGTCACAAGTCAACAAAAAAGTCTTTTCATTGAGACTTCATGAAGAGTGTCAGTATTACTAGTATCAATTGAAAACAAAACTCAAACAGAACTCACCCAGTCTTTCAGATGGTGTGACTCTCAGAAGCTATCATGATTATATAAAAAAATTAAGAATTAATATTTTGCGGAAATGCTACAAAAATGTCATGTATTTGGAAAATCCTCATTGATGAATACAATAAACAAAAATAATGTTTTGAACAGTCATTCAAGTTAAAAGATGATCAATTTGGTCCACAAAAGAGAGAGAAGGAAAGACCCCAGTGTAGTTATTGTCGTCAATTTATTTTCAACTACATGCATTTGGATGTGTTAAAACTCTGTGAAACCTCTACGTTAGAAATGAACCCTTATAGCTTATATACTGTAAGAAGAACATGTCTGGCATAACAAGACATGCAAGTTTTACCTTGGAGTACAATTACATTTTTGAACCAAAAAATTTTTTGAAAATGATGCACCCTTGATAACAGAAACCAATGACCACAGGTCTAGGCATCTCCACTAATGACAATTAGTATAATTTCAGAGCTGAGCAAAGAGTTTCCAGCAATCTGATTGGTCAAGCGATTCCTTATATGAAGCTTATATAAACTGCTCCACGCGGTTTATATAAAATGTTAAAATAAAATGTTAATAAATGTTAATAAAATGTTATGATTTTAGAAATTTCTCCGTTGTTCAGCTCTGAAATTATACTAAAACAATTATTATTGCAATTTTAATTTTCTACTTTGACATGTGATATTAAATGGAGAAATTGCTTTATGGTCCCACTTGAGAGAAAAAGCATCACAATAGAAAGATAGCATACCATCTTTACTTAGTGTTTGAGGAAAAAATGATGAGGAAGTTTTAAGATAAATTATATTTCATCATGTCATGAGCACGTGCACAGATGAGGAAAAAATTCTGAGTCCCAAGAAGGAATCAAAACTAAAATCTTTGGATTCCATGCTCCATTTGCTCTGCCACTGACTAAAAGAGATTCGACAGTGAGTTAAACACCATCAAGAGTTCATACGTGACATGTGTTCTATACACTGCCTGGATCAAGTTTTACCTTGAAGTACAATTACATTTTTGAACCAAAAAAATTTTTGGAAAATGATGCACCCCTGATAAGAATTTCAATATACAGAAACCAATGACCACAGGTCTAGGCATCTCCATTAATGACAATTAGTATAATTTCAGAGCTGAGCAAAGAGTTTCCAGCAATCTGATTGGTCAAGCGGTTCCTTATATGAAGCTATATAAACTGCTCCACGCAGTTTATATAAAATGTTAAAATAAAATGTTCATAAACGTTACTAAAATGATATGATTTTAGAAATTTCTCTGTTGTTCAGCTCTGAAATTATACTAAAACAATTATTTGCCTCAGGTTCGGTGAATATTGTCGCATAATCCCCCCGACTTTGTCTCGGGGATTATTCGACGATAATAACCTCGCCTTCGGCGAATAATTGTTAATTACAAAATAGAATTCTTAAAATCACTGTTTCTTACCTCTCTTAGGAGGGATTTTGCCTCAGGGGATATTTTATTTTGTAGATGTAGTTCAGTGTGAGTTTTTATTCCCCAGGGATGTGCAATTGACAGTGCCTGCAAAGTGTATCAATAATAAGAAACAAAATCAGTATGTGCTGGACAAAAGAACAATGCTTTAAAAATATTGTGCAGAATGGTTAGTATCAAAGTGATCAGCAACAATGGGGGCTCTTTACCATTCAGCAAGTGAAGAGAAACAATGTGTTCCCCTCAAAAGAGGATTTCTCACTATTAAGAAATTGTCGTAATGGCTACATTAACCTTTCATTTACCAAGATCTGATTGTTGATTTGCCCACTTATTAGGGACCTTAAGCAACCATGACGGCGACGGCAACAAGGACATAGAAAACAAGAAGATCTAATTGGCAGAACAATAGCTCAGCACGTGCGTTTTAAAACTTTGTACATTTCTTAGCCGTCTAATGCAAAACAACAACATGAAATTGCCAAAATTTGCGTTGTTTGCGAGCCGAAACTGCGATGGCAAATATTTTCATTTCCATTTGGAACTCAACGCTACTTTTATACGTCATACTGAAGTTGAGCTGTAGCGCCGTATGAGACAACAAGCTCATGCAGCTATTTTTTAAATTCTAACTAAGAGTAGAAATTCATTTTTTAATTGAGGTCTTCCTTGGCGTTGCCGTCCTGACTGCTCAAGGTCCTTAATTGCTACACATATCCTTGTTAAACAATTATGAGAATTTGGTGTTCAATCAAGAAAATAACTTCTACCTGATAAAGTTTAAGTATCATTTTCATGACCTGTTTAACGAACAATGTATAGTTGTTATGGAGAGAAGTTACATGTTTAAAATTACTTAGACTGAGACAGGGATCAACACTAAATTTTCACCTTACTAGCCAAATGGCTAGTGACATCTTAGATGTTACGAGAATTTCTGTTTGTTTACTAGCCAAACTGGCTAGTGAAAATCAAAAACCACTAGCCAAAACTAAATTTTTTCTACTAGTCTGTGGCTAGGTGGCTACCTTAGTGCTGAGCCCTGTGAGAGCTAAAGGGTTAAATTAATCCTTCAACTATCAAGATCTGGCGAATATTTAAGGGAGATGTGACTTGATGCCTCAACCAATTGTGCCGATCAAGTAATGACTGAACCTGGATATTGGAATGACCTTCTTACTTGAAGCACTCAAAAATAAACATAAATAATTATTAAATACATTTGAAAAAGATATTAAACATCCAGCTCATACCTGCCCTGTGATTATCTCATAAAGCAGAGCCCCCACACTCCACCAGTCAGCAGCAGGAGTTATATCATCAACTTGCCATATCTCTGTAAGTTTTATTACAGACAAAAAATATAAAAACTTCACCAAAAGCTTTGACAAGGACTTAAAAATATGCATATCAAAACTATGTGTCAACTAGCCTGGAAATTAGAAGATCAAAACTTTACAACTGTTGGGAGTTCTGTTCAAATTTTTAATTATTTTCTCAAAATTACTGACAAAGTGAGTTTATTCCTGCATTGACTAAATAATTACATTTTTATGTACCCTTTTGGAGGCACAGACTGATAGGAGATGGATAATTTTTCATATTAGACAAATATGCAATGTGTAGTTGTTTGAAACATCTGGATCTACCTTGTAAAAGTTATTGGATCTGCTAAAGAAAGGGGGACGATTAGCTGCCAATCTTTTAAAATCCTTTTAAATGGTGCCGCAATATGTCATTTATGATAATTAATAAGTCAAATCGTGACTGGTTGGAACATCATACATGAAAATCACATCTCAAAATAAAGTCAGCATCATACTACTACCTATTATAGTAATTGTGAAAGATCATTACCTGGAGCACAGTAAAAGTGATTCATTGCTGTCTTATCTGGAATGTGATCTGTTTCTTCCCATGAACCAAAGTATGTGAGAAGGATGTGGCCTTCTTCGTCAAGAAGAACATTTTTGGGGTGCAAATCCCTATGACAATTCAAAGTTACACTACAATCAATATTCTATGATCTAATGACAAATTAATATGCTGCAACTCCAACAGATTTAATTTGAGGTTGGGCACTTAAAAATAAATAAATACAGTTACTGTAGTGCTTCTCAGAATGAATCAAGACAAGCAGGGCTCAACACTAATGCTTCAACTTACTAGCCAAGTGGCTAGTGACAATTTAGATGTTACAACAATTTAAGTTTGTTTACTAGCCAAACTGGCTGGTGGAAATCAAAAAACCACTAACCAAAACTGAATTTCTACTAGTTTGTGACTAGTTGGCTACGTTTAGTGTCGAGCCCAGACAAGGTCAAATTACTTTTAATAGTTCTGGCTAGTTTTATTCTTGTATCCCCTTGTTATTATAATATCAAATTATAATTAATAAAAAGTTTCGAAAAAATCCATTCAAACTATAATGTTCTGAGGAAAGTATACTAGATATAAAGAGACCCAACAATCTTCCTTGTAATCAAATGACAAATCAATGCAAAGAGTTCAAACTGAAAGAGGAAAACTGTTATAGAACAACCTTGTAAAAAGAAAGTCAAAAAAAGGAAAAAAAAAAAATAGTGAAAAACATTCCCCCTTTCCCCCCCCCCCCCCCTGCCTCAATGATGAGTTGAGACAATCACAGCTATCAGACTGAGTGCCACTTGTATCGATCATGCTCAAGAGAAGGCGTAATGTATCAAAAGATTTCATTCTCAAGCTAACACCACGAACCAAAAACCATTTTGGAACTCTTCTGGCCAGTATGAAAGTGGTACAAAAACAGATTTGCTTTAATGAATGAGTTACATGATAACTGCACCTGCAAATAATTCCTGCTGCATGCAAGTAAGCAACAGCTAACACAAGCTCTGCTGCCCAAATTCTTTTGTGTTCATCTGGTACACTCTGAGTCGAAGAAGTGAAATACTCGTCTAGTTTCACAAAAAGTGATTGTTTGTCATGTGTATCTATGCTTTCCCTAGGATCTCTGTTTTCTGTTAATAGCTCCTCATTGTTACAACTTTGTGGCACCAAAATGTGGTGGTCATTTCCATTTCCAGTAGCATCTAACTGTTCAACAGCTTTTTGAGTAACTTCTGAAGAATGCTTGCTGTCTTGCAATGGTAAAGAATTCCTTTCATTAGAAGTTCCATAATTATCGTTTTTTTTATCACTAAGTGTGACCTCTCTGTCCGGGTGAGTCACCTTATTTTGAAACAAAGGAGCAGCATTTTCTTTATCCAAAGTCACATGTTCAACATCTGCAGATTTCTTCAAATTGGTAAACTTTCTGTTGACACTCCGAATCAGGTTATCTTGCGACTCCTTGTTATGTTGATAACAAGAAAGATGATCCCATAGTCTTCCTCCTCGTGCATACTCTAGTAATAGATAAATGCTTGTGGCTGTCTCAAAGTACCTGTACAGTTGCACAATATTTGGATATTTCCCCTGAAAAATGACAAGACAGTAGATAATTATGCTTAAAATGGAGTACACTTCTCAGGTTACAACAATAGAACTTTAAAATAATACTTACATAAAGACGTCTAACCAATTTCTTTCTCTTATGGAGACTTCCTTGAGGAACATTGTTTGGTTTTGTTTGTCCTGACTTGCACAATGCCTGAAAGTTTTAAGAAAATTTAAGTATCTCTGTCAGCAAAAACACTCACTGAAAATAGATGAAAAGCAAAGGAAGGCATTAATTAATTAATTAAAAGTATACTTACACTTCCAAGAAAGCTATCAATTAAAAGTGTCTCAACAGTACATAAATTATACCAGTTCTAATGCTATATAAACTAGTGACTGATTATCACATTACAGTAGTCTGGTTCTCAGATGATGTAAGATAATACTCAGTGTAAAGGAGGTTTAAGGAAGCACCTGCCGTACATTTGTGAATCAGGCTATACACATAAGGCCATGAGGTCTCAATCAGTAGCATTTATTTATAACTACAGCAGAGTCTTTTTTGTTTTTTTTAAGCGTTAAAAAACTTTAGAACATAGCCAGCACAGCCACGCAATCAAATTCTGTATACGTAAGCGTGCTCAAAATCCCGATAGTGCATGCTGATATAGCGTGAGCAAATCGCTTTGCCAAAATTTTTTTTTTCACGCGAGCGGCCATTGTTAGCTTGGGGAAAGATAATTTATTTCGTGACATTAATGGATACAAACAGAGACTCGGCCTACTAGTACCAAAACGAAGACAATTTTTCAACCTTTCCCCTTGGGCTAGAGTTCTTAAATAAGGCAGAAAAAGAGAAAAATAACGGAAAAGGAGACTCGGCATCAGCGCTGTCACGATTCGCTTAATTTATATTGTTGTCTGTTTTTCGCATCGGATTTGATGCACAATTCCACCAGCTATGTTCTAAAACAATTGGTTCATGCTCTCAGCTGTGCACTATTGAGTTATAGAGCACGTGAGAAGTTTGGAGAGCACTCAAGAAGCTAGAGTTGCCCTCGGCTATTGGCTCGGGCAACTCTTACGCTTCTTTCGTGCTCTCCAAACTTCCAGCGTGCTCCATAACTTGATAGTGCACAGCTGAAAGCATGAACCAATTGTTAATTTAAAAAAATGTAAATTAATTAATTAAAAGCATGGCCTTTGAAGAGGGAAGATGTACCAACCTCAAGGTTAATGGTAACTTGCAATAAAATTATTGAAAATAATAAATGAGTTCAGATAACTTATTTACTAGGTTGTTACATGCACTGTTTTGGAAGCAGCAGAAATTAAATTGGTTCACTTGAAGCATCTCAGTCAGTTACACTAAATGTATGTGTCCACAATTATATTATTTTATTAATAATATTAAAACTTATTTATGTTCTTTGACTGTTCACCTTCATTTTCCAAAACTTACCTTGACCACAAATGTTTCCCCAGTATTTTTGTTCTCGACTAGCATCACCTATAAGTCCATATGTGAGCAGAATGAAAAAATTATTTGTACAAAGTTACACCCAAAATTATGTATTAAGTAAAACTGACCACCCCTGCTGAACAGATAGGGTAGTCATTTTGATAAATAAGGGATAATGGGGTAGTCAAAGAATAAAGTGTCATTTTCTGCTGGGCAGCTTGTTTATTGATGAATTATTAGTTTAAAATGCATTGAAATCTCATCATTATAATCTTGCAATTGACTAACCTTGCCAACAATTCCCATAACTTTTAAGTCTGCCAAAGTGAGGTCCTTGAATTTTTGAAGGTCATCAGACTGACACAAATCCCCAGCTTGTGATAGAGAAGAATCCTACAAGATAAATTCAACCCCTCCTTGCTATGCATTTGCTGTAAAAAGAAAATCTGATTTTCTTGCAGGTAGAGTGGAGTTCTCTACACTGTCATCTGAAAACTTTATTTTTCCCAGCTGTCAGAGAGTAAATTTCCTGGCAGCTATACTTTGAGGGAAGCATTTCCCAAGCAAAAGAAATATCCAGCCAAGCAACTCACTGACATCCAAATACAACTGAGGACTCAAGCCCTTGTGATATCACGTTTACTGGCTCATTACTTCTAAAAACTGAAAAACATGAAACTTTTCCATACAGTATCAAATTACATTTCTTAGCACTGAACTGATTTAAATGGACAAACTCACTATTCTGATAGTATAGTCCACTGGATATTTTTTTAAAAACAACTTTCCTTTGAAATGAGGAGGGGTAAGAAAGTCCAGCACCATTGCTGTGACTACATTATTGAGTAACAACCATTGTCAGTAACAGTTAGTACTTACCTCAGATTTCTCTGAAGAATCATTTCCAGCTAAGTATGTGCTGTAAAGAGCTTCTGCTTTCAAAAGATACTGAGCGGTTTTGCGTCTCACAGCCTCTCGCCTCTTGACATCCTTTTCACCTATAGAAAGAAGCCAAATATTTATTGTCAGTAGCATTCTTGGGTTATCTTTCATACTCCAGGTACAAACCATTGGAGGAAAAAAAAACTCATAATCAGACACGCCTTATTTCACCAATAATTATTAGTTAACCCTCATTCCCAACATCATCTAAGTTATTCTCCTTATAATTACTGTCTGCTGTACAATTCTCATGGTGCAAGTTTAGAGAATTTGGTATTAGATCAACTTACAATAATCCCCTAATTGATATTTTTCTTTATTCTCGTTACTTGCCTGCCTCACATTGTATTCATATTGTAAGGAGAAAATCTGTCTTGGTTACTCATGGAAGTTAAAAGGGTTCAAAACAAGAGCTACATGTATTAAAATAATGAGCGAAAGGGTTCTATTTACAAGTAACTGCAGTGCTACCCAGCCCAAATAAACAACTTACAATACCAAGGGGTTTCTTTATTGGGGGGAGGGGATCAAGAGTGAGGAGCAATGGGAACTCATGAGACCAACCATGGTACATCTCTACTTAATTATTCCATGGAGTATCCTGCATTCCCAGTTTCTAAAGTACCTTGTACACCGCTCAACAGTAGACCAACACAAGTCTTGTACAAGCTGAATGCCTCCTCATAATTCCCACTAACTTCACAGTCCAGAGCCTTGTGTATAGTATGGCCTGCAGCATACAAATAGTCACTTTCTTTAGGATCAATGCAGATATTTGTCAGATCAGAAACAGTTCTTTGACGCACCACTTTCTTGTTTCCTGCATCTCTCTTCACACTTGTGAATGACTGTCTGTAATTGACAGTACCAGCTGAATTTGAGTCCTTTGGTGACCATGAAGAATCAGAAGACTCTGGAAGAACGTCATTGTTTGACTGTGATGTACTGCCAGGAATCATTTCTGTCTTGCAGTTCATTCCAGTTTCACATACAACTGATTCTGAGTTATTAGCTTTGGAACCCTGCTCTAGAGACTTTGAGGTGTCTAATGTAACTTCTAGTTGATGAGGGCCATTTAGAGAACTAGTACATTGATCTTCATCTTCTTGTGTTATGGAGTCATCAACGGTGCTCTGCTCCTTTTCCTCACAGTAACTGTAATCTGAAAATGCTTGGGGAAAACTCAATTCTTCCTCAGTAGCTTCAGATGCAAGAACTTCCAAGTCCTCTCCCTCACTACAAATGGAAATTGCTCTCACAAGCCACTGGGGAGGCTCTGTGCTACTTGAACGGTCCTGTTTGTGAGATATATCAGCAATTTCTTTCTCTAAACTTTCACTGGTATCATGTGTAAAAACCTCATCTTGTTCATCTTCCACATTTTGATCAGCTTTGTTATTTGACCGCTCAGTAAGAGCTTGTGGTGTTCCATTGCTTGCATCATCATCTGGTGTCAGTCCATCAATTTCCTCTTCATCTGAGCTAAGAATGTCCAGACCCTCTGACAGGGAAGGCTGCTTGCAGAGCCACACTCCACCAAGTATGGATGACTCTTCAGAATTATTCCCCGGTGAGTTTTGAACTGTATTACCAGAGCAACTGATATCTACTGACTCTTTGGTAGAAGAACTGTCCTTGAAGATGTCACCTTCTGTGTCAGATAAGCTGCTTTCCCTGCTTGCAACACTATCATTGTGAGCTTGGTTGTCAGGGAATGCCCCCTTAAATGCATAAAATTAATATAGATGGAATAAAACAACATATTTGACCCTTTACATCCTTAGATCAGTATCAATATTCTTAACATGGTACTATTTACATTTCCTAAAGAGCTGACAAGGAGAATTTGTTTAACAATCAAGAGCCTATTTAGTTGGTGATCATTAATTTTCCTAGTGTGTTTTGGGGTTAATGTTATAAAGAGAAATGAATTTGGATGCTAATCCCTCCTAGTGGTCAAAGGGTTTAACTTAAAACCCTGTTACAGTAACTCCCAAGATCTGATTATAAATTCTCCCCTCCAGGTGCTACACGTTTCCTTGTAAATTGGTTATGAGAATTTAATGTTCAATAAAGGTAACAACTCCTACATGTAGCGGATGAGTTTGAGTATTCTCATTACCTGTTTGCTGGATAATATGTAGATATTATAGAGAGAAGTTACATGTTCATCACTTCTGGGAGTGAAAGGGTTAACAGAAGTTCTGTAAAAGACAGTAGTTATAAATTAATGACGGCAAAACTTATGATAACATACCTCAAAGAACTTAACGAATGTTTGGCTTGTAAAGAGATCAGGAATGCTGCCTGCAAATGTCAAAAGTTCTAAGGAAGCTTTTCTTCTGTCTTCAATTACTGCATCATCAAAACGACCTATAATATAAAGTCCTTGCTGAATTCAGTTGCTTCTAAATTTTAAGAACAAGAAATTCACAATGATCATAGAATGTAAAGGACAGTATACCAAAGACAACACTGTTAATTAGTGGTAATAGCATGCACCATCAGAAAATACTATTCACTTTGATAATCTGCCTTCTTTGAAACCTTCAGACTTTTGGTTATTATCACCTAATGTCTGATTACAGGCCAAATTGAACCCCACTAAGTCCTGCTAACATTATCTATTATTAACTTCATTGTATATCTGCTATGATTTAATGTGTCCTGAAACAAACTACAATGTGCAGAAAGATTCAATGTATTTACTTTAGTCATTAGAATCAAGTAAAACAGAGAAAAAAATAATGTACAGCAATTCTAAAGATAAAATCTATTACACCAGGAAAAGCTTGTGGTAGTATTATGCTGAGAATAAATCTGAAGACATACCAAAGAATGTTGCCTTTGGAAAAGGAGGAAATTTGTCTTGTGCATGTTTCTGGATGTAGATCTTTAAAAGCTCTCGGTGGAGTTTCTTGAAGTCACTGAATCGTCTCCAAACAGAGATCTGTTTTAGCAACGAAAAAGCAATTTTATATCGAAGATTTGTGATAAACAGGAAACAGTGTGACCATGTGGTAATAACAAAGGATTTGCAATTAAGTGGTCCTCATTCAAATGATTCAGTGGTTCAAGTCCTCTAGCCTACAACAAGCTATCTTGGTTCTGGGTTCCCCAGCATTCAACTCCTTGTGTATACTCTACAAATGGTTAACTAATTTGGTTACTGCTAAATTATAGAGGTTTTTCCTCAGATTTAAAATAATGACTCTCTTTGTCTACCTATTTACAATGAGACGTTTTCTTCTAACCAAATACAATAGAACAATTTACAGAGTTGTTGTTGTTGTTTTTTTTTTTTATGTAATTATCTCTTAATTAGCTTATCTGAGGCTTGGTTATCAGCTGCTGTACAGGAAATGAGCCTGCACTCCTCCCCTGAACAAGAAGGATTCATTAGAGCCAGTTCAAAGAAAACAGCAGAAATGAAACCTGGCTAACCTTGGATAAAGAAATTGTCCTTTGAGAAAATATTTCAAATATGATCATTACAAATGAAAATTTAGCACATGTATTAGACTGGCATTTAACAACATACACACAGAAATTGAACAGACCTCTGTTGCCCCTTCAGGAAAATCCTTTTGAAAAACCTTGAAGAAGTAAATATAATCAAAATTAATAAAAATAATTAGTAATAAAAAGCACCCCAAACCAGCCTATAAAGAAAACCTTGAATCAACGAGGAATAATCATGACAGGTACCTAGCGCTGTACGTACTATACGTATACTTGACTGTATAATTTATAACATTATTTAGTATAATTTCAGAGCTGAGTAAAGAGTTTCCAGCAATCTGATCGGTGGAGCGGTTCCTTATATGACGCTATATAAACCGCTCCAGGCCGTTTATATAAAATGTTAAAATAAAATATTAATGAATGTTACTAAAATGTTATGATTTTCGGAATTTCTCTGTTTTTCAGCTCTGAAATTATACTAACACAATTATTCGCCTCAGGTTCGGTGAATATTGTCGAATAATCCCCTCGACTTCGTCTCGGGGATTATTCGACGATATTCACCTCGCCTTCGGCGAATAATTGTTAAATAATCGACAGAAAATTAATCGGAAATTTTCTTCTCTTTAGAACTGCGAATCGAAAGTGTTAGATAGGGACGATAGATGTCAAAATGGGTATTGAATCTTACAGAGGAGAAACATCAAAATTATGAATGTAAGCATCGTTCAAATTGTGATTCAGGGCTGTCAGAGCAAGCTTATTATTTCATTCCCACCTAAAGTTTCCCATATATCTAAGTAAACGGCAGTATATAAAAATGGGTTAAAAGTTAATTCTCAGCTACACATATCAAGAACAACAGCAAAACATTTTCTTTTGGACGAACTGATGAAAATACGATCGAAATTAATGTCGCATGATCGAAAGGAATAGTTAGAGAGAGCGTTTTACAGATAAGATACTTTCAGTTACCTTGGAAGTGACTTTGTACAAGGTGTGACCGGCGTAAGCTCTTCTGGGGTCTGATACATTAAAGAGACGGATCCATTGGTCATCCATTTGCACCATATACCAAGGACAAATTGACTTATTTCATGTCAGGCTGAAGCAAATTACATCCGGTGCGTCCAGTTTATTGGCCGCCATCTTTAGTTACCAGACCCCAACCTCGCTTCCCAAATTTATGTCCAAAGGACACACGTACCCGTACGCGGCTTCCTCGATCTTCTCCAAAACAACTTAGATTCCATGCATTTATCTTTGAAGGAACATTTTGACTGCGACCTGAATCTGTAGTATAATTCACGGCAGTTTGACTGTAACTGGCATAATAAATCCGTAAAGGATTCACTTCGTCGAAGTTTCCGAGCTCCATGCTGTAGCCAAATGCAGAAGAAAATATTAATATTCCTGTCCGTGGTTACCTGGATTGTGATCTTCTTTGTGTGGAGGACGCTGTTTTGGACACGAGCTTACGATGCCACAAATACACAGGTATTTTTTTTACATGTTTAAACATGACGGACTCGTAGGCTAAACTTTAAACATGACCTACTGAGGCTAAACTTCAGAATATTGTATTGTTCAGAATATTATATTTGTAGATCTAGAGTCACTTGTTATCCATGATAATCGAAATGCATCAACTATTACTATAACTACCTTTGCTTAGTATTACCTCACTTTAAAAGGTCCAACAATTTTGAATAACCCAAGGCATATCTCACATTAGATTGAACACTTAGGGACAACTATCAATCCCCCCCGTGCCCAACCAACCCCCCCGTGCCCAACCAACCCCCCCCCCCCAGACAATGATTTTTAACGCACACAGAATTACCCGCACTCTTAAATGTGTTCGAGACTGACTACGAACTTCAATACAGTGAATGCTACACTGGTACTATTCGTCAATAAGTTACAATAGAAGGATATCAGGACTGTATCTCCTTAGATAGAGCCTTTCAATCACTTATATCCGAAAATTTCAACAATTTTGTCATGACAATAGGATGTACTGCAGTTGCTCTCTATTGTAAAAATAATGTGGGCTTGAAAATATTCGATTCTCATGCAAGGGATATTTATGGTAGAAGCCCTCCTCAAGGTACATTTGTGCTGCTTGAAGTATCATCACAGAAGAGCTTAGTACAACATTTTCAGAGTATACATAACAATGATATATTTGAGTTGAAAGGAGTTAAAATTAATCAAGTTCAAAATAGCACCCTTTTTTCAGTGTCATGGCTGTGAAATAGACTTATTCAAGACCGGAAATGACGAAATTACGTGATGACAGTAACAATGGGAATATGGCAGTCCCCTAAAGATAACTCCAGATGTGCGATGTTGAAAGCCC